AGGGCCCAAGATTAAATTTTCTCCTGTCTCAAACCAACACAAAGGAGTTCTGCACCTTCTCCCATATAGAGCTTCATAGGGTGCCATACCTATGCTAGAATGAAAACTGTTGTTATACGTGAATTCAATCAGAGGCAGATATTGATCCCAACTACCAGAATCCTCTAGCACACAAGCTCTCAATAAATCTCCTAAGGATTGAATGGTCCTTTCTGATTGTCCGTCTGTTTGAGGATGATATGCAGAGCTAAGGCGAAGATTAGTTCCTAATGCTTGATGTAAACTTCCCCAAAATTTAGAAGTGAATCTAGGATCTCTATCAGATATTATGCTAGATGGTACACCATGCAGCCGTACAATCTCCCTTATGTACAGTTCAGTCAATTTTTCTAGTGAATACCTAATTTTATTGGGTAAGAAGTGAGCAGATTTTGTCAGCCTATCCACGATAACCCATATGGAATATATATATTTCATTATTGGCTGGAAAGCAATTTGTGCCAGAACTTCAACTGTAGCTTTGGAGTTTGGAGTCAACTGTTGATTAATTAATAATTTCGGTACCAAAGCATCTTTTCGGCCGTGTTGCTGGCTTTTCACTGCTCAAATACTTGTATGATTTCCCTTTTCCCCTTTTCAGCTAAAAAGCCTTTTTCATCTTTAAAGCCTACGTTAATTCTACTATATTGAACCATAATTTAGTTGTATTTTTGCATCGCAAAGATCATTCATTTCATATTGTTCAAGAAAAAGAACAAAAGAAATATAAACATGAGCATCATGACGTATAAAGTAAGTGGAAAAGTCATCAACGAGTGACTGGGATATAACTCATTTCACAAGAATGTAAGCTTAAATTCTATAATTGATATAGCTATATAAAGACTTAATTGACGAATAATATGTAAATATTTCTGTAACTTCTTTTTGACCCATGTCCGTGAGGCCAACTTGGATTTTGGTGAGCCTGGGACGTAATTCACCTAATTTGTTTATGATAAAGTAGAAGTACATACAAATAATCAACTCATATCTAGGACGTATGACATTGATCAATCTGGACAAGTTTTGAAATGATTTGTGAATCTAAGATGGTTGTTGAGAGAGTTATACTTAGAATGCTACAATTAATTAATTATATATGATACCCTTGATGGACTTAGTTGGTGCTCCTCCGGCCTTGAAGTAAGGGGAGAGTGTCCTTGGACAAGGGCAAGTGTAGCTTCTTGAGAGGGACATGAGTAGAGGATGTTCCATCTCTTAGGGTTTGAATGATATCTTCAAAAAGGAACTCATCACAAGGTATAGCCAGAGGACCACTCTTGTTGAAGCCCTTGCCTTCATATGCTTGTTCCAGCAGTTGTTGAAGCAATGGATGGTTAAGGTAGTCAGCCCTTATCACAAACCTTCTCTTTGCCTCTCCCACCGCCACCGCCAAGTGCCCGCGCGGCACATCCGCCGGCGGCTTCTTCCCGCTGCCACCGCAGGCATTCTTCAGCCACATACAAGCCATGCTATTGCTATGTGTTGAGATAGAGACTCTTGGAGATAGATGGATTTGTGTAATGTTATATTTGTGTCTAGTGTGAGCTATTAGTGCAAGCTTATGAGTATCATATATTAGTATTTCATAATTGGGTTTAAATATATTTTCAATTTTTTTAATTTAAAATATATTTATTTTTACTTCCACAAATATAAATTTGATTTTTCTAGTTTTTCTAGTTTTTATAAAATCATGTATTACTTTTTATACACAAATTTTGATAAAAAATCTATCAAATGTTGTTGTATAAAATTTATTTATTAGTATCTTTGTTAATAAAAATATTACAATAAACTCAAATGATGTTATATAATTATGTCATTTGTTGGTATCACTTTCAAATATGTTATTAGTAATTTAATAGACTAAAACAAAATTTTTAAAATTTACAAGAAATAAAAATAATAATTTTAAATTTAAAAGATTAAAAATAAATTTATCTTAAATTTAAAGAATAAAAATATATTAAACTTTTATAATTTTATGAGAGTAGTTCGTAACTTATGTTTTTTAATTAAAATTTGAAGTTGAAATTTTGGTTTAGAGACATTATGTACTGAATTCAATGAAAAATAGTTATATCTTATTTAAAAAAAATTAATAAAGTGAGACACGTCGTGTGCTTTGGAAAACGATGGAAGCAAAATCCGTATTGTGTCCGCAATGGGTTGGGTATGGTAGTTTCGTCTATTCCTTGTTTTTCCACTGCAGCATTTCCATTACTTTATTAGTAGCGGAAAACCGCATTTTGTGTCCAATTATTTTTAAAAACTAATAAATAATAAAAAATTATATAATAATAAATAATACGTAGTTATGAAGTGAAATTTACATAAAAGAATAAAAATTTTGTAATTTATAAAAGAATAATTATAAAGAGTAAAATTGAAAAAAAAAGTGTGTACACCAAAAAGTTCAATTCTCTTAATTATAATCAGTAAAATTGAGACATTTTATATTTTTATATTTTATTTAATAAAAATATTTAAAAATTATTTATATTTGTTAGATTAATTAATATTATACTTGATAATCAAACTTCAAAATCTCATATTTAAGTCTTGTTTTTGTAAAAATAATTAATTTTTAATATTATTTTTTATTATTTAAAAATTTAAAAATAAAATTATATATATATATATATATATAAATAAAATTAAATTATTCTCTTTATATATATGTTATAAATTATTGATTATTATTAATAATTTTTTTTAACCGATGCATCTAATTTGTTACAAATAAAGCAAAGAAAACTGAAGTACTTGGTTGCCTTTAATGATGT